GCCGATGCATTGCCTCGCCCTATGTTTCTATTCTCCCCAGTTCGCGTCTCCGAATTTGTCATACTCACAAAGTCTCTTGACTGGCCTGATGTGTTTGTGTCTTTGCTTATCGTTCTCACCACACCAAATTTGTCCATGGTTCCAGTCTCTCTGTCGGTGTATGCCTCATTCTCCCGGGTCGATCTATTGAGGCTGACTTGAGATCCAAAGTCCACTTGCTCCTCATTGTCCTCTTCTTCCTCCTGGGATTCACCTTCATTTCCTGTACCCACTCCCATGGTGAATGGAAAGATGTTTCCGAAAGTGTTCTTCATTCTTTCTGAGAATGATGACGTTGTCTGTTTCTCCGTCACGCCTGCCATCATGGTGTTTTCTGTGGGAGGTCTTCTATTTGCGACAATTTCAGTAGAGATGTCGGACAGTTCCGACATCTCCTCTCGGTCCAGTGTCCCGGTGGAAGTGGCAAAATCCTGGCCTTGTTCTACCGGAGTAGATTCACTCGCCAGCCTTCTGTCTCTCCCCTCCGGTCCATGTATTTCCTGGTTCTCATTCATGGCCTGGTCCGGATGGACCTCTACTTCTAGCCTAGCTTTTCGCTCTTCTGAGGACTGTTGCTCCTGGTTTCAACCATTCTGCCTGAAACCGTCTCCCCTTTGTCGGTCCGGCTTCGTGTGATCCGTTCCACAAAAGGGTCGGTCATTGCTTTTCTTTGCTTTTCAGGTATGAATTTCCTAGATCTATTACCTCGTTTAGGTATTCTTGTTTTGTCTAGACTCATTTTCACTTTATCACTTCTTACTATCTATACACTCAGTTCGATTGTTAGTGTCTTTTTGATCTGACTACTGATAATAATAACACAACACAATAAATTCCGAAAGTTTCTATTAAATAGTGACCACGAATCCTTGTATGTTACCACGGCAGAGCGTATTTACAACCAACTTATTCACAATAATCGATTAAGATTTGAGAACTAGCACAGTATGATGATATCAGTCAATTTAAAAGATAGTGTATTCCCTACCCAATCGAGCACAAACTGTTGATTTAAAACCAGATATAACAAAATATATGAATTCTATGAAAAACGTATGTGTATTGTACTTTTAGTCGGTCGCAGTACAATAGTCGTACTTGTTTTTACAAAAAAAGAGCTTTGCCTAATTGGTGCTGCACCAAACAGACAAAACTTGAAGGCAGTAATTTTCTCAAGTGGGCGTTTATTGCACCCACCGAGTCCTGTGTTACCTATCTGCCTTCGGACTGCCCGAGCTAGACCTACTAAAATCTTCAGGGCAGTCACTTTTCTCAAAAACGTTTTGGATTTCAATCCACACCAATGAGTTACAAACTGCTTTTTTTTAATTTAGACTTAGTGTCGCGAATATCCGAGTTTGGACCTGTTTTGTTTTGGTCTGGTCTTTTTTGAAAGGCAAGTTACCAGTGCAGTCACTGGTTCCTAGCCTGTCTCTTAATAACCTAACAACCCTCACTATTTTTCTGTTTGTATCAACTAGGAAGGGTATGTGGTCCTTCCCTAGACCCTTCCGCATTGAGGTTAAGCCTCTTATTTGAGAATTCACGCTAACGGTGAAGGGTCTTATCGCTAGCCTAATTTCGGCTCTATCAAGGTTTTCTGGTGCCTTTAGCCTTCCCTATTCTTCAAAAACAGCGTAAAATTGCCTTATTCAACAGTTTCTACCCTTTGGTAGGGGTGTAAGGGCTTTCCAAATTTTTTTTTATAAAACGTGAGGGGTCTACCCTCCCGAATTGGTGAGTTTGCTAAAAACAATCTGAAAAAATTTTCACGCTTTTTTTTTGAATAACTTTTGTTCCTATTAGTAAGCTCGGCTAATTTCTGATCTAATGGTACCAAGAATTACTGGATCTGTCCAGTAGTTCCAAAGTTATTAACCAAAACGTCTTTTTTCTAAAGTCAAGAAATATCTCTCTTATAGGTTCCGCCTAACTTTTTCAGCAATTCTGTTCTTTTCAACCTAAAAATTATTGATCCGAGCTCAAAAGGCCTATATTTTTCTAGTTAAATGCCAAAAACCCGATCTAGAACGCTTTAGTTGAAAAAATTTTTTAAAAAAATTGCTACCTGGACACCTCCGGATTGATGAATCTACTGAATCAAACACGTTGAGTTCGATTTCTCTGTAATCCGGAAGGCTTTCGGTAAACGGGTCTTAAAACCTGTAGATTCACTAGTGGAAGTTGACCGAACAACTATTTGTACTGTCCTAACTCAAAAATTTCAAAAAATTCTTTGATTTTATAGTGTTCCGTTTTCTCAAAAATCGCGAAAACTCGGTTTTTGGTACCAAAATAGTTCCAACCACTTCTGAACTAAACTCAACCGCTTCTACCTATTATACTAGCACAGTTACGATGTAACTCACTAATTTAGCGCTTTTTTCCGTTTCAAAAAATATCGATATTTTAAAAATCGCGGTTTGTGGGGGGGTCAAAATATCGCTATTTTGACCCTAAAAACCGGTCCGCCTACTGTGTTTTTCACTGAAAAACGATATAGTAGTATTAATATATGCTATATAAGTAAAGATATTAGTAATACTATACCCCTCCGGGTTTGTTCAATATCCGAATTAAGGTGCTTAACTCGGATTTTCGCAGTTCGGTGAAGGGTCACTACAGTGCAGCACTGTCGAGCCCACCACAGATCTTATTTTTTGTACCAAAAGGGATACAAAACTTGTTAACGATACCCAACAGTCGACTGTCGTTGTCGTTGAGCCCCTCCTTGTTGCTCCTTGTACTGCTTGCCGGATCAGTCTTCTCCCAAGACCCCTCCGGATTGAGCGCAAATCAGCAGACCCTCCGGATTGAGCGCAAATTAGCATTAACGTGCTTGAATACTCAAACAACCCTGCAGTACAAGCCTCACAAACGGGCTATAAAAATGATCGTAACGATCCTGATTGATATAAATGCCTGTAACAACAATATATCTATCAACAACAAACGGGAGGGTCGGATCACATCTTGTCTGGGGGGATGATTTCTACTGATTTTTTACTTTTTTTAAACTATTTTTGTTTTTTTTTTCGGATCTTTTTTATTTTTTTTTATTTTTCTTGGGTACTATATTACTTTTTGTTTGGTTTTATATATATCTTCAAGTGTTTTTGGTCACGGACCACTCAGGAGATGACGGGACCGCGTATCCCCCACCCTTCCTGGTTCGTGAATTTTCGGTCTTATCTAGGTTAAAAAGCTATTCACGGGAATCCGGAAGGCTTCCGCGATCCGAACTACCCCTCCACCCCGGCGGTTAGGGCCTATTATAGGGCGTTATTATGAGCATCCGCTCGGCGCGGAGTGCTCGTTAACTGTTCTGTCGGTCATGATGTTATAAAAGAATAACACCCAGGAGCGCCATAAAAACAGCTATGTAACAATCGCCCGGAAGTTCATATCGACGGAAAATTAAGCTAGGTTCTAAGACGACTGGCCAACGTCTAAACAGAGCTCTACATGCTTTTCACTGTCTTTACCAAAGCCAGTTCTTTTGGTGGTCTTTTCAACATCGGGTCGACAAAAACGTTACTGTTCTCCGGCTTCGACCAGAACGCTCAAATTAACTTAATTACATGCAAAATAGTGAGCTCATGGCTGGGTCTCAGTATCCCCAGACCTTGAGGTCACTCCTAAAAACAGGACTACTCCTACTTATTATATTACTATTGTTTTTGTTCAGTAGATAAAAATCATCATCTCCATCGAAGATGGATCAACCCTTTCCCCCAACTCCTAGCTTCTCATCGTCGTAAAATGAGTTCAGATGTTACATAAATTCAATTCAAGACATAATCAGGAAGCTAAAAGTTTGTATAAAATGATATGAGTCCAATTCCCGAGACCCCTACGGATTCTTGAATCCGGGTAAATAACAACCTTGTCTTCTTTCCGGAAGGCTGCTTTTCCACCCTTCACCGTTGTTGTGAACGGCCTTGCAACGATTGTAGCGGCACAATCTCTGCAACTCGGAACGGTCTCTGCTGACTCTGCAATTCGTTGTTGTTTTTCTTTCACAATTCTCGTAGTTATCGCTATCGCAATTATTGTTGTTCTGATTTTTTCTGGTTTTCTTCCAAAATGGCAGATTCTGACGTTTTTCAGAAATATGACGTCATACTTCGAAATTTTAAAAATTTGAAACACCAGAATATTCCAGCCTTCACAGTTTGACTAATCGTTCCAATAACACTGCTAATCCTTCAAAACTGCTTCGGAAGGTTAGCTGCTAATAATTCGAAATTGCCGAATCTGCATTTTCGTCCATTCTGGTCGAATGTCACACTCAGGTCGTAAATTTGTTCCGTTTTCAGAATGTTTTTAAGGTCCCGGAGTACAACCATATAGTCCCGGAGTACAACCATAAATTTCCGTCATCTAAATACCAAATGTGAATTTTTGACTCCAACTGTTTGAATAATGTCTGAATTGTTTCCACAGAAAGGGGTGGGGCTTCAATATCGCCTTGCTGAGTTCCGTCTTCTGACCTTACGATGGAGCTTCCATAAAAAAAGGACTAGGTTTACTATACGCGCGACGGGTAGGTTTACTATACGCGCAATGAGTTCGACAGTATATTAATAAATGTTTTCTCGTGTCGAGTTGCGTGTTCTTATTGAAGAAACGTAACCCGTATCGAGTTTAATTTTAAACACATCAACACTAATAGTCTCCTTTTATCATTATCTTTTCCTTATCCAGAAAACTCCGAGGATTTTGACTGGATAATGTGATGAAGGAACTCCTGACTGGAACCTCGGTTACTATGATACTTTCGACTTCTGATTACGTTTAAAAGTTAGAAGAATTATTTATCACTTTTTATCCTAAAAGATTGATTTGCTGAAAGATCGGTCTCCAGTCAGAAATTTCAGGGCCCTGTTCTGATATGCGAGCAGTCTTTTGCAAAAATGAGAGTGCTTTGGGAATGATTGAAATCGTGTAGATTTTCAGAAAATTGAAGATGGGAGATTAGGTGAAGCTCAACAAAAATGGTGATGCTGAATGAGCATTCCTGGAACTCCTTGCAGAGTGGGTTAGTACGATTTCTTAATCATATTCATAAATATGTTTCCATTAAATCAAAATCATCGATGATGCAAGAGAAAGTAAGTTATCAGAACCCGAGATTGTAGAAATGCTGTCCCGGAAAACGTTATACTTTTACTTTTGTACTTCATCGATTAACGAGGCTATGTATTATGTATACTGCTGTAGAATTCTGACAATCAGGTCTCAGCAATACATTCTCTTGAACAAAAAAAAATGAACGTTTCTGTATGAGATAAAAATGAGGTAAAGAAATGTATCACTGTAAGCGGGACCTAAACTTTTTTCCCGTGAACAACGTTCTTACAATTTACAAATCTTGTTTGCTTTACTATTTAACTTTAACAAAGTAGAAGTTCGTTCCCTCTTGGCCTAGAGGTAACGTGGTCGCTTTTGCACCCTGAGGTCGGGGGTTTGAGTCCCGGCCGGACTTTACTTTTTTTTCAATGTGTATGCAATTGAATTTTTTCAGGTAAAAATTGAATGGCGGGACTTTATTTTGCTTGCTAAAGTTTTGTCGGCTTAGTTGCCAAATCACAGATTTTTATTTAGCTGTAAACAATTTTCAGTATAATTGCAAGTGTTGTTCATTGTAGTTTCAAGGGGGTGCTTAAAACATTTTTTTTACAAAACAAGTTTTTTTGTCGGCTCAATTTTGTGTCTGCTCAAAGGTTGTCGGCTTTGTTTACGTTTTGTACGTTCTCTTCTGTTGCTAATTTAACCTTTAAATGTTTTGCTTTGAATTAATTTTTATTGAAAAATACGAAAATTTTGGTAGACCATATTTTCTTTAACATTTTTCTTTTTTTTGACATAAGTTTTATGTTTTTGTCGTATTGCAAGTGATGCGAAGCTCCGCTTTGCCTATGATTTTACTCTTCCAATTCATATCTGTTAAAACGGTGGTTTGGGGGTCCTGCTTTGGCAGGGATTTTTTTATTTCAAGATAATTCATTTCTAGACACAAGAAGTAAAAGAAAAACATGGTGGGTCTTAACATTTGTTTCGTTTTCGAACAATGAATGATATAAATGTGAGTCCTAAAGGAGACTCTTCGCCTTTAACTGATCCGGAGAACGGAAAACTTGATATTAAACCTGACGATGAAATAGTGGATTTGACTCACAAAAGAATTGAAAAGATACAAGGCTTAGAGGTTTTGAAATGTGTGGAAACAGTGTGCCTTCGTCAGAATCTGATCAAGAAGATCGAGGGGTTGAACACCTTGACAACTCTGTTGTCTCTTGACCTGTATGATAATCAGATTCCAGAAATAGAGAATATAGAAGGGTTGATAAATTTAGACCAGCTTGATCTTTCTTTCAATTTCATTTCATCAATTCAGAATCTGTCTTCTTTGACCAATCTAACAAGGCTCTATTTGGTCCAAAATAAAATACCGACCATCGAAAATTTGGACTCGCTCATAAACTTGAAAATTCTCGAGCTAGGCAACAACAAGATACGCAAGATCGAAAATTTGGGGACTTTGGTGAATATCGAAGAGTTATATTTGGGCGGAAACAAAATATCTGTGCTAGAAAATATTGGTCACCTGAGCAAATTGAGAATACTAAGCGTTCAGCAGAATCGCATTGTAAAGATTTCAGGTCTTGAAGGATTGCTAGAATTGGAAGAAGTCTATTTGAGTGATAATGGAATTGAAGTTATTGAGAATCTAGACTGCAATCTTAAATTGACGGTTCTGGATTTGAGCAATAACAAGATTTCCAAATTGGAGAACATCTCTATGTTAGTTGAGATAGAAGAATTATGGCTGAATGATAACGAAATAAGTGACATTAGGCAACTGAAGGAGTGTGAAGAAATGACGAAGATTGAGACTATTTACCTGGAAGGAAATCCAGTGCAGAAAAGCGACATGACAGGATACAGGCGGAAAATAAAACTAAACATGCCGGAGTCACTCAAACAGATCGATGCTACTTGGTGTAAATGATCAATAAACAACTTGTTGGAATCTTCAAATATAAAAACATGTCTCATCCCCAATCCAAAGAAAAACAATTAATTATTAGAGCACGAGTCAAAAAGTACTGCCAAATGATTAGTTACAATTAAAAAGTTTGAAGCATGTTTTGAAAAAAAAAATGCTGACATTTTATTTGAACGTAGTAGGGCAAATGAATTATCAGCAGCTGACCGAACTAAAATACCCTTTACATACTATTTCCCATTCTTACCTAGGCATTACAGTTTAGTCAGAGATTGTTGACTCGTGTTCTATTAATTAAATAGAAAAACTCTGTATAAATTAGAGGACATAAAGGTTGAAATATTGTGTATTTTGATAAATTGTAGAAACCTCCAATTTCAGAAAAGTTAGTTCATATATCTGCAGATTTTAATATCTGAAGCTCATTGTTTCTAATGAAAATATTCATGGAACATCCGAAAAAAAATCTTTTTTTTTTTTCAGTCTAAGACGAGCAAAACAGGATATAGAGGCCGATAGAACCAATGGCGGGATCAACAGTCCAAAACAGGTCCCGGTTAGATCGACACGCTCACCACGATTGCCAAGGTTAGTTATAATTTCCAATGAAGCTAGCAGTTTTTTCAGGGTAGCCATTAAATCCTGGATATTTACATTTGCGAGAGCAAGTGTCTTGTAATCGGAAGCCAGACTTCTTTCCCCGTAAACAACTTTGTTTTTTTTTTTTTACAAATTTTTATTTTTGTGCACTTCTTTTGTATTAACATTAACCAGGTTCTTTCCCACTTGACCTAGGGGTAACGCTGTAGCCTTGCACCCTGGGGTTAGAGTCTCGGTCGGACCTTGTTTTTTTCAGTATGCATGCAATTGTAAACATTTTTTTTTTCGGTATAAAATTGAATTATGGGACTAAGTTTGTCTGCTCAAGTTTTGTAGGCTTAGTTGTCACATCACGGATTCTGCTTGTCCTGTAAGCAACTTTCATTGCAAGTGCAGGTGTTGTTCATTCTTTTTTCTGGGGGCAATTGAAAGATTTTATAAAAGCGTTTTTTTTCGGCTCAACTTGTGTCTGCGTAAAGATAGTCGGCTTTGTTTCCTCCTCGCACGTTTTATTCCGTTGCTAATTTAGTATTCAAATGTCTGGCATGTTTGCCTAGAATTAACTTCTATCGAGACATACGAAATTTTGAATTTTGTTATACCTAGTTTTCTCAACGTTTTTTCATTTTGTTTTTACTTATGTATTTTATGATTGTTGTATCGCAAGTGGCGCGAAGCTCCGCTCGCCTTTGTGTAAGGCGTTTACAAGTTCGGACTGAAACAGTAAATCAATTTTGTTTTAAGCTGTAATCTCTTTATTAGTGAACCTTAGCAACTTCGATACTTCTTCCAACCTTGTTTTTTAAGTATAATTTTTTTTGAATGGTCGGTTTTTAGTTTGTCTGCTTGTCCTTTGACGGCTTAGTTGCCAGAACGGTTGAAATTGTCTGGTTCTTTCAGCAAATTTCATCGTAGATATAATTTCAGTGTTTTTGATTTATCCTGTAATTTCCGCAAGTTGTATATTTTCCTTGTTTTTTTTTCGCTCAAAAATATTTAGGACAACAATTTCTTATGGAATTTTTTGGCTCAATGGGCGTGTACCCATTTGTTCTCGTCTTAGTAGCCGCTTGGTAAATGCTAAAAGCTTATTTAAAACTAGTGGTTGTGTTTTCCGACTGTTTTTCTAATTACTTACTTTTTTTTCGAAAGTTTTCACTTTCTCGCTTTTATGATTGTCTCATTTTCCATTCACTAGCGAAGCTCCGCTTCGCCTTGGTGTGAATGAAACCATTTAAAACTTTCTAGCGTGATCAAAAAAGCATACGTTTTTTGAAGGAAACGTTTGACTTATGGCTGGAGGGTCATTTGAGAGGTATTCTGGATGCTGAAACTTCAAAGAGCTAAAATTATCTAAAAATTCAAAGAGCTTTAAGACAGTATAATTTTAAATGTCAATGAACGAAGTAAAGACTTTTAGTTTGGCTGTGCGTTTGTTTTTTGGTTTTTACGCTCAAATTTGATTTTTTTCTCTGTTTGACTCTTTTAAAATTAATTAATAGTCATTGATCAAATGGAGGAAAATAACGCTCTCCGATTAGAATATCGCTATCTATTTAGAAGAAAGCGGAAATGGCGCGATAAAATGTTAATAATATTCTTTTATCGTAGGTGGAAATGAATTTTCAGATTTTCGAGTGGAATAAAAAATTACCTTTTGATCCAGTTTTCTCTAATAGGGTTAAATTTATCAATTAATTACAAATATTTCCTGAATTTTGAAGAGCTTTCAGGGCATAGAATTTTTCTATGCATTCGAAAGTTGAGAATTTTTCAAAAAAATAAGTCAGTTTTTCGTTTTCGTTGACTACACTGACATTTTCCATTTTTTGCTGGCTATGTTTTTTCTTTTGTGGTTGAACTGTTCCATGAATGCATTCACTGTCAAACTGATAATATCAATCAGGTTGAAAATGACCATTTAAATTGTATGTCGCGTCTTCAATTAGTGTTGCAAAAATTTTTTTTCTGGATTTCTCTTCATTTTTTGCCAAAGATAAGTTTGGTCGGAATTATTAGTTGTACCGGTGCTGGAACCGGCTGTACTTTCTCATAATCTTTTTCGCTATTTGGAAATGATTGATCTTTTTTTACTTATAACCAGGCTTCGCAGTTTAAAAAACGAAGTGGTTTTGACCTTATAGGTCTCGATATATTTTTTCAAAAAAAGTTTCAAAGGACCTTAAATAAATACAGAGCTGCATTCATACATAATAATACATTAATGAATGCACTTAGGTACAGTGCTGATTTAAGTTATCCGGACAAATTGAATAAAACTTGAATTTTCAAACACGTTTTTCTCAAATTGGGTTAAGATTAGACAAAAACTGAAGAGAACAAAAGTGGCTTAGATTCCATCTGAATTAATATGAAGCAATTTTTTCTCCGAAATTCTCAACCAAAATTTTAACCCAAAATGCGTCATTTTGGTTTCTAATAAATCAAGAATTACGCTGAAACTATTCGTTAATTGATGAATACATATCACAAGAAGCCTCTTATACAGCCCAACAAAGTTCTAGAAGGGTTAAATCTCCCAAGACCAGTACAAGAGAAAATATTTTGGCTAGGTATTCAAGAAACGTGATTTTACTATCTTAACCCAAAATCTTTGATTTAAAACAAATTCTAAACAATTTACTCCAATTTTTGGAGATTTAACCCTTCCAGAACTTTGTTGAACTGTGTGAGCGGTTTCTTGTCATGTGTAAGCGGTTGCTTGACTAAGTTTGTCTGCTCAAGTTTTGTAGGCTTTGTTGCCACATCACGGATTCTGCTTGTCCTGTAAGCAACTTTCATGGCAGTTGCAAGTGCAGGTGTTGTTCATTCTATTTTCTGGGGGCAATTGAAAGATTTTATAAAAGCATTTTTTTTTCGGCTCAACTTGTGTCTGCTCAAAGATAGTCGGCTTTGTTTTCTCTTCGCACGTTTTGTTCCGTTGCTAATTTAATATTCGAGTGTCTGGCATGTTTGCCTAGAATCAACTTCTATCGAGACATACGAAATTTCGAATATTGTTATACCTAGTTTTCTCAACGTTTTTTCATTTTGTTTTTACTTATGTATTTTATGATTGTTGTATCGCAAGTGGCGCGAAGCTCCGCTCGCCTTTGTGTAAGGCGTTTACAAGTTCGGACTGAAACAGTAAATCAATTTTGTTTTAAGCTGTAATCTCTTTATTAGTGAACCTTAGCAACTTCGATACTTCTTCCAACCTTGTTTTTTAAGTATAATTTTTTTTGAATGGTCGGTTTTTAGTTTGTCTGCTTGTCTTTTGACGGTTAGTTACCACAACGGTTGAAAATGTCTGGTTCTGTCAGCAAATTTCATCGTAGATATAATTTCAGTGTTTTTGATTTATCCTGTAATTTCCGCAAGTTGTATATTTTCCTTGTTTTTTTTCGCTCAAAAATATATAGGACAACAATTTCTTATGGAATTTTTTGGCTCAATGGGCTTGTACCCATTTCTCCTCACTTAGTAGCCGCTTGGTAAATGCTAAAAGCTTATTTAATACTAGTGGTTGTGTTTTCCGACTGTTTTTCTAATTAGTTTCTTTTTCTAAAATTTTCATTGTCTGGCTTTTATGATTGTCTCATTTTCCATTCACCAGCGAAGCTCTGCTTCGCCTCGGTGTGAATGAAAGCATTTAAAACTTTCTAGCGTGATCAAAAAAGCATGCGTGTTTTTGAAGGAAACGTTTGACTTATGGCTGGAGGGTCATTTGAGAGTTATTCTGGATGCTGAAACTTCAAAGAGCTAAAATTATCTAAAAATTCAAAGAGCTTTAAGGCATTATAATTTTAAATGTCAATGAACGAAGTAAAGACTTTTATTTTGGCTGTGTTTGTTTTTTGGTTTTTTACGCTCAAGTTTGATTTTTTCTCTGTTTGACTCTTTTAAAATTAATTAAAAGTCATTGATAAAACGGAGGAAAATAACGCTCTCCAATTAGAATATCGATATCTATTTAGAAGAAAGCGGAAATGGCGCGATAAATTGTTGGTGATATTCTTTTATCGTAAGTGGAAATGAATTTTCAGATTTTCGAGCGGAATAAAAAATTACCTTTTGATCCAGTTTTCTCTAATAGGGTTAAATTTATCAATTAGGTACAAATATTTCCTGAATTTTGAAGAGCTTTCAGGGCATATAATTTTTCTATGCATTCGAAAGTTGAGAATTTTTCAAAAAATAAGTCAGTTTTTCGTTTTCGTTGAGTACACTGACATTTTCCACTTTTTGCTGGCTATGTTTTTTCTTTTGTGGTTGAGCTGTTCCATGAATGCATTCACTGTCAAACTGATAATATCAATCAGGTTGAAAATGACCATTTAAATTGTATGTCGCGTCTTCAATTAGTTTTGCAAAGTTTTTTTTCTGGATTCTTCATTTTTTGCCAAAGATAAGTTTGGTCGGAAGTATTAGTTCTACCGGTGCTGGAACCGGCTGTACTTTGTCATAATCTTTTTCGCTATTTGGAAATGATTGATCTTTTTTTTACTTATAACCAGGCTTCGCAGTTTACAAAACGAAGTGGTTTTGACCTTATAGGTTTCGATATATTTTTCAAAAAAAGTTTCAAAGGTCCTTAAATAAGTACAGAGCTGCATTCATACATAATAATACATTTATGAATGCACTTAGGTACAGTGCTGATTTAAATTATCCGGACAAAATGAATAAAACTTGAATTTTCAAACACGTTTTTCTCAAATTGGGTTAAGATTAGACAAAAACTGAAGAGAACAAAAGTGGCTTAGATTCCATCAGAATTAATATGAAGCAATTTTTTCTCCGAAATTCTCAATCAAAATTTTACCCCAAAAATGGGTCATTTTGGTTTTTTTAATAAATCAAGAATTACGCTGAAACTAATTCGTTAATTGATGAGGAATACATATCACAAGAAGCCTCTTACACAGCCCAACAAAGTTCTAGAAGGGTTAAATCTCCGAAAACCAGTACAAGAGAAAATATTTTGGCTCGGTATTCAAGAAACGTGATTTTACTATATTAACCCAAAATCTTTGATTTAAAACAAATTTTAAACAATTTGCTCCAATTTTTGGAGATTTAACCCTTCCAGAACTTTGTTGAACTGTGTAAGTGGTTTCTTGTCATATAAATTCCTCATCAATTAACAAAGTAGTTTCAGCGTAATTCTTGATTTATTGAAAAAGCCAAAATGACCCATTTTTGGAGTACAATTTTGGTTGAAAATTTCAGAAAAATGTTGCACCATATCAATTCTGATGGAATTCTAAGCAAGTTTTGTTCTTTTCACTTTTTTCTTTTCTTAACCCCATTTGAGAAAAACGCGTGTTTGAAAATTCAAGTTTTGTTCGGTTTGTCCGGATAATTTAAATCAGCACTGTATTTATGCACTTATGGAGTTCAATTCAAACTCAGTTCAAAATTTGAGTTAATTTTGTTCTCTCCTATTACGAAAGCAGAAATGGTGCGAAAAAAAAAGAAAACGGTTTCTAGTTTCGAAATCGGATTTTTAGGTTTCCCGGCGGAATAAAAATTAACCCATCAAACATGGGCTAATTTTATCAAAAAAGTGTAACTCTTAAATTGTTCTTGAAATGCAAAGAAGCTTTAACCTGATATTCTTCGAAATTTGAAAGCTAAAAGTCGTTTACCCTTGTGATAAGCAAGGGAATTGCAACCGGATAATAGACTGGTCTCTGTCAAAAATTTTCAATCACTTTTTTCGGTTTCCTTTTTCTGATTATTTTTTTCAACCATCTGTTCGCTTTGTTTTTGAACTCGTCGTATTTTTCGGAAGCTTGAAACTCCACGGCGTCTTATTTATCAAACTGTAAAAGATTGTCTTATCTAGCAGTTTGTGATATTTTTGTTTAACAATTAATGCGAAGGTAAGCTCAGCATTGCCTCCATGTTAAAAGTATAATATCATTTTTCCTTCTCACCGGCAAGATCAGGTACCTCAAAAACACGAAAAAAACGTTTCTGAGTTTTGGAAACATTTGAAAAAGTTTTGGAACGTTTTTCAAAGATGACTGTGGTGAGAACTTTCTGTGCTGTTTGCTTTCTGTTGAATTGTAAGCTGTACTTTTTTTTGACTATTTCAGATTGAGTTCGACGGAGAATGAATCAAACCATGTGCAGGATTTGCGCAGATCTAAGTTCAACGTCGTACCTCCTGTACACAGGTAGGATAATTTTGCTTCAGAAAATATCAAATAAGCTAGTAGTGGAAGAAACCGAGTCTGGGAATGTTTTCCCCACATTTATGGCTTTAATCTTTAAGGTGAAGCTTTTTCAAGCTTTATGCTAAGCGTTATCTAAGAGTTTGTCTTCACACGCGTAATTTTAATGGCTGGGTTTTTGAAAAAACGAAGCCTGAAACTAAGCTAAGTGCCTCAAAAGCAGACGGTGTTTCTTAATCAAGGATTTTGCAAATTTCTACATCTACTGGATTGGATAGAATAAGATTGGTTGTATGCAGAGGAACTGAGATCATTGCGAGGGGGATTGGAAGCGGATTTTTAAAAAGATTACAAGATTTCTGAATCTCTCCGGGCTTGTCTAAATATTTCAAAAAAAATTGGCGCACGTTCTTTGTCAAATTTAAGAAAAGTTTTGGTTTGTTGGTTGGATGTAAAAGTAATTATGGGAAAACTCTCTTTCGGTGGGGAGGGGTCGAAACATCGAAGGACACGTGTGTGTTTCAGAGGAAATTGGTTTCAGCGGAGAAGAGTACGTTTAAATAAATACGTTATTGTGTTGTATTTAGATCATTTTCTCTGGAATCTGTTACTAATGGTGATCGAACTCAGGTAATTTTAAGCATAATAGTAATTTTATTTCCTCCCATGTGGTAGATATTAATGTGATGTTTTTTATTTAGAACCAGAGTGTTTTCACTCCTCCCACCTACTTCAACAGTCACGCAGACCAAAGACGCCAAAATAGACAGAAGAGACAACATGCAGTACCCAACAAGTCAATATCCAGGTACCTGGATTTATATTTCTATACTCATGATTAGCTTTTCTTTTTTTTATATGAATTTATGTTTTTCAGTTTCCTGTCTCAGAGAAAAGCACAAGAAGCTGAATGGAGTCAAATATTCTCAGAAGACGAAGAGTTGTATACTCGAGGAGGGGATTCTTTAAACTACAACAAACGGGGTCAGGATCCGTACAAACATCAGGGAAAGGATTCTCAATTAGGAATGTACAAAAGAAGAGCAATGGAAGACAAGAGAGGAGCGCCGAATAGTAACTTCAAGTGAGATGAATTTCATTTCATGTCTAGTTTTTTTTGGTGCTAATCCTCCATGGGTGATGATTATTTACAAGAATATTGTTTTGATCGTCTTGAAAAAATATTTTAAACAGGCGAACATTTTCCGGGGAAGTTAAATGTTTATCTCCAGTTTGCTTGATTTTGATTTGGAGACTCGTATGTTCTTTAGCATTTTGGACGATGACCTAGCACCCACCCCCGAATCACAAGTGGAGAACCGTAGACATATCCGGCTGAGGGAGAGGGAGAGATTTGATCCGAGGAAAAGAGGAAGCCTAGAGGAGTTCGTAGACAGACTGAGAAACGAAGTTTGTGTATTATTCTTCTGTTTCTTATTCTAGTATATTGGTTTATTGGTGAAGTATAGTGATGGTGGGATAAAATGTATCAAAATTTAAACTGATGGGTTGACTAGGCTATCACGAAAGCGTGAGCTAGCTCTGGTATTGTATTGTGGTCAGAAGTTTGAACGAAACTGTAATAGGCTGATTTCTGAATTGTGTTAGCATAGATTAGCCCAATATTGAAGGTCAGTCATTTGCAGGGCATGGTAAATGTTACGCTTTCGCTCATGAGCAGATTTACTCAAAAACTTTGTTTCAGAGACGCCGAGATCGCGAAGAGCGTCAGTACTCACCAAGTCTGAGATACAAACCATTGGTAAGTGAAGAGGTGCCCGAACACAGTGGTTTGAGCCATTCAACCAATCGAATTGGATCATTGCTGTCTAGTTTACAAACTTTGTTGAAGTGCATAGAGATATCTATTACAAGTTTGAATAAAAAATAAATAAACTTCGACATTGAAGTATGAGTTGGTCTGAAAATTGGCTGTTACAATCATTAGTTTTTGAAATATGTAAACTAATTTTTTTCATTTCGATCGCAATTTTATTTTGTGTCTCGTTTTGCAACTGCCTCTGCTATATGCGTTTCTTCTTCATCTGCATGATGCCAATAATTTTGAATCGTCAAATGAATGATGGTGTGCAGTGTGCTTAAATTGTTTAGAACCCAAACCAATACGAATCTTACCCCTCAGAAAGAGACCATGGCTACGAATATATGAATGGAAACATGCATGGGTTGAAATCACCGTTGCCTTATGAGGGCGACTCAGCTGTAATGTCAATAGTAGATGAGCTTGTTTGGGACACTTTGGAGGAAGACATGGTTCCGGATGTCCTCATAGAAGTGTTCATGGAAGCCAAGGACAATCCAGATCTAGCAAATAAAACATTGAAAGATGCTGAAAGTATCACTGCCTCAATGGTGTGTTTTTATCATCTTAGAATCATTAAGTGTGATTTGCATGAGAAATATGCGTGTGAGTGTGTTAGTTTTTGGAAATTAAAAGGAAAATAATTACTCTTGAAAGCATATACTTTTCTGAAATTTTCAAACGCTTGACTTAGTTCAGGTTGTCAAACAATGTGTGATACGTACCATGCGCCTCTAATTTAATAAAAATCTTCGATTGTTGAGAAATTTACTCAAAGCGAATGCAATTGTTTTTTATATACTATTTGGGAGACGTTATATACTATTCACGATACAATATTATAGGAAACTTTATGTTAACCTTTGCTTCAGGAAAAGTTTCTTCCGATGAAGACAGGAGCTGACCCCTTTCAGTCTCAAAAGAGAAGCCTCAGTCCCCCCTCACATCACTACCCCTGGATCAGTAGACCTAACCTGCACCCCCCTCTACCACCCGCTGTGAGGTCGACTGAGGATCCAGCAATCAAAGCACACGACGAAATGCTGTTCAGAAGAACATTTGGTGAGATCACTGAATTAATTGGAGTTCAAATAGAGTTCTTGTAAGAGTTTCAATGAACAGCAAGGGGCATTAAAATCAAGAAAAAAAATAAAAGAGTTTTTATGGGGTTTGAAATTGCGTTAAAGGTTAAAAGATGTTCTCTGAGACTAATGATGCCTAGCCCAGATGGAGTAATAACCGCGTAATGTTATTCTCGGAAATAAGAATAAATTTCATGGATTTGCGTTTGTGTTCAGATCAGATGGTGACTGTGCCTATGGTAGCAGCGACACAGATAAACGAAGTGGAGACCATTGCAGCAGAAGTTGTCCAAGAGACAATGCCGGACATCGTGAGTTGAACTAGAAATTCGAACCGGTTTTTATTTTAAAATGAAATTATGTAAAAATAAAAGTTAACAAATGCGCTTTCAAAATTTAGATAAGGTTTAGGGGACGAGGACGAACTATATTAAGCGACCATTCTCAGAAACTGACTTTGGGTTCACCTTTAGTCCTAATTCACGTTATCAATTTAGACCAACTTCGTCTAATTTCTTGAAAACTTCATTCGCGAAAAAAAGCGTCATTTTGAGGGAACCAGAAATTTCGTGTTAGAAAAGAATTCTATGGGACTCATTAAAAAACTGTTTCTGAAGCTTTAAGAGACATGAAACTTACCTGGTTGACTCTTTAGTCTTGCGATAAATTTTTTTATCAAACTGGTAAAAAAATGTCTTTGTGACTCAATACCCATGAAGAAGATTCAAATGCCTGAAGAAAAGAAGTTTTTTCCTTTAAAAGTTTAATGGATCGTTTATAGAAAGGAGGTGGTATAGTCGTAGTGTGTGTCTGTAGATGAGACCTAGTGCAACTATGATTTATCTTATCGTAGGTGCGTGAGGCCATTTTCGACGTTATCCTCGAAGACTACATAGAGAATGATCTGTTAGCCGAAGTGATCAGAGAAGAATCTCGTGACGTCACAATAGAGACGTTGAAGAAATTAGACAGCAGAGTGGAGTGGAAACAGAGAAGGGCTGTGAATTCATTTGCGAAAGATAAACTAGTTGACAGTTTCAGTTTGGATCACGTATTGGATCTAATCGCAAAGAGCGGCAGGATTTACACTGATGATATGCACCGGGAGAAAATACTTGACGGTTAGTTAGGATTCAAAATTTTTACCTAATCGAACGCGTATTATGCTATTTTTAAAAAATTCTAACCGTAGTCGCGCACATTAAAGCTTAGTTTTTGGGCTAAGCTTGTTTTTTTTCAGGAAAAGTCTTTACACAAGCAAAGCTTGTGTGATAGTATGAAGTCTCTTTTTTTCCAAACTAAGTCGCAAATTTTAGTGTTAACTGCCCTCTCAAATCTGAGTTTTTAGTTCAATGAATAGAACGGTTTTCCGAAAACTAGATCCCGAAAGAAAATTTCCGAAAACTAGCCTCAAATCTGTTTTGAGAGGCTAGTTGTGGAGGTAATGGGTAGTGGGAAGCTACCCTGCGTGAGCGGCCACTCACAAAATTTTATTTTTACACTAAAAGTCATCGCCCTCGGAAGATTTTGGTTTTTGACTGGTTTTTAAACTTTTCGAATATTCTCGAAAACTACCCTGCCATATCTAAGATTTTGGTTTCATTTCAAAGAACGGGTTGTGGAAAGCTCATTTGCTTATGCGACTACGCCCATATTTTTTGACACCAAAAGTTATTGCCCTCGAATTAGTCAAAATTTTGATTTTTTTAACTGTTTTTTGAAAGTGTTTGACTCCTCGCTAGAACTACCCTCCCAAACCTGAGATTTTGGATTGAATTGAATTTATAGGTTGTGTGAATTCATTAGCGCATTACCGGCTACGCTCTATTTTTTCAACCAAAAAACTATGATTCTCGGAAATGTCAAATTTTTGCAAAAGGTTGTTGAAACAAAAGAATTTTGAAAGTCGATTTTTATAATTGCTTATTACCAGCTTGTTAGACAAAAAAGTTATGGCCTTCAAACGATTGAAAGGTTTGAAAGTCAGAGAGTTTTTTTTTTGGAAACTTATTGACTTAACGCGAAAACTACTGGGCCAAGTCTCATGTTGTTCTATCGAGAAACCCGGTTTTGGGAATCTTCTCTGCTTGAGTGAGCAGAACCTGCTTTTTGCAGAAAAAAATTATGGATTTCGAAAAAATTTTTGGTTGTTTTTAGAACTCTCGATCGTTTTTTTTAAATTTTTTTTTCGAGTTTTCATAAAATTTATCCAATCAAATCTGATATGAAAATATCAATTTAAAGAACCGTATTCGATCAACCTAGGGAAAACCATAAGAGATCCCCCGAAGATGTTATTGCTTGTTAGTCTAGTTCTCTACGGTTGATTCAAAATTGACTTATGTAATTGTAAGCCCGCGCAATGAATTCTTGACCACTCTTTAATTTTTGACGTGTATGAAAAGACAACCAAAACTGGGAAACAAAACGAAACTAAAAGACTATTCTTGACAAAAGCCTCTGTGTTGATATGTTGTAGTTTTAATTGAATAAAAAAATCTAATATGATCCGTTTTCGCGGTTATATTCGGTCCCGATTTTCTCAAAAAAAATTATCATTAATAATTCTGCTTAACTTTTGAGCCAGTTTTGTCCTCTTTTTGTCTGAAGTCAACCTTAATTGAGAAAGAAGCGTTTTAAATTTCAACTTGTATGCGTTTTGTTCCGATATTTAAAATCACCACTATTACTTTGATTAAAAAGTGCCCATCGCGAAATTTTTTTGAATATTACAGAATTTCAAGTGGATGTTTTGTTCTGTGAAAATCAAAAGTTGAAAAAATTTGAAGAAAATCGATCGAGTTTCTGGGTTCCTTGTGCTCGAGACTCTTTCGAACATTTTGAGAGCTGATTTTTAGTCGCCTTGAAAACTCATTTTTAAAATTGAGTATGCTAATGCTTCTGGTATGTTTCGACAGTTGTTTAAATTTATCAAGAAGAAAAATCATTATTCGCTCAAACAAATTGCATTTCAGTCCAACAACTCTAGTGTGAATTCATCAAAGAAATTTAATGAATTCATGTGTGAAGCAATTGACAAACGGAATTATGGTTTTGCTATGTATATTGACTTGAAAAAAGCGTTTGACACTTTAAATCATATTTTAATTGCAAAGCTGAAATGTATTGGTTTTCGCGGAAAAATTTTGGACCTGTTGAAAAGTTTTTTAACTGATAACTGATAGATATCGATAAGTCGAAATAGATGACAAAAAATCTGAATTCAAGTCAGTTTCGTGCGGTCTACCCCAAGGCTTTGTTTTAGGACCGCTACTTTTACTAATGTATATCAATGATTTGACGCTGTCTTGCTAGGAAGTGGAGAATGTTTTGTTTGCAGACGATACTGCAATATTCCATGCTGACAAATTGAACATTGACCTTTTTGTTGAAAATATAAAACTCTGCGAAAACTGGTTTGAAAAGAACTGCTTAAGTATCAACGAGTCAAAATGTCAGTACATGATTTTTGGGAGAAAAAAATCTGTTGAGCTGGAAGCTTTCGGAAGATAAAGAAAATCTTTTGATTGCTGTAAATACTTAGTTATTTTGATTTACAAAAGTTTCAAGTATCATACTCAAAAATTGTCAAAAAAATATCAAAATTCGGTGGTTTTGTTTACAAGGCTAGACATTATTTTTCTTGAACAAAATGGATTTTACAGATTACCAAAACTTTGTAAAAATTTTGAAATTATGTTTACGATAATCAAACAATAATTGATTTGTTCTTCAATTAAGGTTTACCCTTTTTTGAGCACGCTTCATTTCACCACTCAGGTGTCACGTTTATTGAGTAGTATTACTCTGCGGGAAACCCACCGTTCAATGTTAAGGGATTAAACATTTTGTTATGAACGGTAAATTAACTCAAAGTTCGACAGTTGTAATGTAGATAATTGGGGTGGATTTAGAAGGTGGAGAGGTGAGCGGATTCGGTCCCCTCGCCACCCAAAGAGTACCACTTTTGTACTAATTTTTGACATTCAATATTGGCCGGGCCCTTATAGTTTGAGTTGCGCCTTTGGCGCCATTATGTACACACGTTGAAGGAGGACGCACTGAACCTATTTTTGTTTAAAACCTTCCAAAAACGCATGCCGAAAAACTCAATTTCTGGTCACAGCCTTTTACAACTTGCCTGCGGCGCCTAAATGGTGTCTATTTTTGGTTAAGTGGTGTCTATTTATTGTTTAGGGGTAATGAATGCAGTGACTCTCTTATTTAGGTCTCAGTGATTTTTTAGGTTTCACTTTGAAATTTGAATTTTTCGGGGTTCGACTTCAGATATTTTTTTAGTTCACCTCATTTCCTTTGTTAAAAGGAAGACGAACTCCGCTATCGCAGAGCAAAAAGCAAAGGTCACGAAAAACGTGATCGACTTCTAGTTTCGAAAGTGAAATTTAATCACCAGATTACCCAGCGAAATAAATACGTATTGATCCAGTTTTCCAGATATAAATTTTATCACAAAGGGTCAAATATAAATTGTTTGTGCAGTTCAGAGAGCTTAAAGGGCATATCTTTTTCTGTAAAATTCGAATGTTGAGGTTTGTTCAAAAAACAAGTCAGTTTTTTCTCTTTCCTTGCGTTCATTACTCTTTTCCAACTGTCAGTTGGCTATGTTTTTGGGTTTTAACTTGGAAGTGAATTTGGTCGACCTATAAAAATGTGTGTTTTCCTAGATCGATGCCTGTTTTGTATGAGTTCATCAGTTTCAAATATTATTTTTTCGTGTATCGCAAGTGATACCAATTACCAATTTTTCTTCACATAGTCTCTTTTCAGACTCCTTCGGAGACAAATGGCTTTCAGGTATAGCTTTGGTAGCCTTTTTTGGTATCAGTGTGTGAGTGTGTGTGTGTCTTTATCATATCGTGCATTTCAATAGAAACTAGACAATTTGTCCAGTTGTATCGACTGTACTGAGTCTGTTTCTGCTTATATAAATATTTGAGCAGCAATTTTAGTCTAAAGTTTTCCAGTGCCACACAGTTCATTTGCGTTCAGGGAATTTTTTTGTTGTGCTAGTTTTCATTTGAATCATGCAATTGAATCATTCATGCAATGAATCATGCAATTGAATCATTCATTTGAAAAAGCAATTGTTAAAAAGATTCGATTGAAAACTAGAAACAACTTAAATATAACGAAACACTTATTTCGCAGATGTGATTCTGAACCAACTTCTCTCCCAGTTCCTAAACGTGAACAACCAACTGCAGTCGACAGTGAGAAATGGACCTCTGAGGAGACTACATGAGAAGATAGTGTGTGATGTAGCCGTGGATGTGGTGCTGGAGGAGCTGGAGGCACAGCTGGATGAAGATATGGAAGACTTGCACGAGTACGAGACAAGCCTGGACGACCCCAGGATGCTGGAGCACAGGTGGGTCGGGTCTGATTTTTATTTGAGTTCAATAATATTTGTGAACACAACAGAATTGAACACAGGAAAGACCGGCGGGTATTACTGCATAACGGCTAATTGTCCGGCTGCCAAATTAATGGAAGAGGGCCATCTATAAAAAGCTGTTAAGGTTAAACGCTTAGGATATTGTTAATTTGAGTTAAGCGAGCTTAAGGTCAGCGTAGTTTTCTTCGAACAATCTGATGCTGGAAAGTATATAGCTTGTATAGAAGGAATCGCTGCAAATTTTAAGGCTGTTTATACTTTTCATACCAGTTTATCCGCGTTTATTGAAACAGATTTTTTTTCAGGTTCTGTGAGCTTTTAAAATTTAAATTAATCGTGATGAAAAACAAGAGTTCCATCAGCTCGGTTAGATTAAAGTTGATATTTAGAGTTAATCACAATTATAATTTTTGCGGGTGATTAGACTTCCTAAACGAGGTCCACCTGGATCTAACTCGTGGGAGAATGATGAAAGGTCAGTCTTTTGCTTGACATGGGTGATGTCAAAATTGTGGAATGAAACACCGTTTGAGAAGCATGTTGTTAGAATAAGCATAGCATGACCTTTTAGAATAATCATCTTTGTTGGCGCCTTGAAGGTAAAAGTCAAAGAGTTTCGGACGCTAGTTTGACATCTAAAACGAGGGCTACCTTTAGAGTGATCGTTTTGTTTGCTTTCGAACGTTCGTTTGTTCGTCTTAGTGTGAAAGTATGCGATTTCGAGGATCAGTTTAACATGCTCGAAATGCTATCTGAACTAGTGGGTTTAACATTCAAATTCAAATAGTTTTTTTTTGCTAGCTTAGCATAAACCAGGTCAATTTAGGCGAGGATTTAACTTTTGCAGTGTTCGCATAATATTCAGTCAATAAATAAGAGTATGTTTTAGTGTTAAAAAATCTGTTTGTTGTTTGTAGTTTGAAACTGGCTGCGGCTTCCGAAGCACTTCCAGATGGTCTGAAGGAGTGGATCAGAAGTGTAGACGCCTCATTTGCACCTCCAAATGTACAGACCAGTCGAAGTAGGAGCCAGTTACCACCGGCTACCAACAGGATGAGTAATCTGGAGAGATTGGACGAAGAACAAAGTGAGTATTTGGGCATATAAGGGCATATGATTTGAAATCGCTGTTTTCAAGAAAACCAAAAAAAATGGGTGGTATGGGATTCGAACTTGCGCTATATTCTGTATCAACCGGCAGTAGTTCAAAGTACATCGGGTTGGAATCAAATTATCGTTCTTAAACAAACGAAGCATAGGGATTTGCCAAAAAATAGAGTTTCACATAGGTGTTTTTCAAATTAATTATTTTTTTAGCATAAATTGAAAGCAAGTATCCAAAAATTCAATAACCTCGACTAATGGACTAATGTCTAACCTATCTGAGCAAGCTTTTTTTAAAAATAACTAATGAATGTTAACCAATTGATGTAAAGTAACCATACCGAGTTTGTCTAGTTTTGTAAAAAGGTATTTCTGTCAAATCAAATATAAGGGCGGATCTAGGATTTTTTTCGAAGAGGGGGGATTTTTAAAAATGTTTCAAGTTTTTCTCGACCTTTTTTTTTTTAGGTCGGCCAAATTGATTTTTTGAGCTCTCCCAAAGCACTAAAAAGTCCCTGTTTTGGCCCAATTTTCTGCGCCGCAGCCAAAATTTAGTATCAAAATTAGTATATATTGGCGCCAAAGGCGACTTCGGAAAATTTTTAGGGTCCGTCACCAAAAATGGATGTTTCAAAATATTATTTAGTGGGGACGCAGGGAGTCGAATCAAAGTGGAGTCGGCAGGGGGACAAAGTGGGGGCAGCAGGGGGTCGAATCCCTGAGGAGGGATGTCCCCCACCTAAATCCGCCCCTGATCAAATATATGTCTTTAAATTATCATGTCTGAAACGTTTTTAAGAGTCATGAACGTAGTAAATACTCTCACAATGTGATTTTTTTTTTCCAGGTAAAAGTCTTAAAATTTGTTCACGCTAAAACTTGATTTTCGCGGTTTTACTTCTGATATCTTTTCAAGTTCTTTTCATTTCCTGTGTTGAAAGGAAGACAAACTCCACAATCGAACAGCAAAAGAGAAAAGGTCACGAAAAAGGTGATCGACTTCTAGTTTCTAAAGTGGAATATAATGTTCAGATTTCCCCGCGGAATAAAAAAAGATTGCATATTGATCCAGTTTTCTCAATATGGGTTACTTTTATTACGATTGCGATTATACTTTATTACGCAGCAAATTTGCCTAATGTTTAGGCATTTTTTAAAAACTCAAATTAAAAAAAAACATTCAGTGCAATCTAGTTTTGGGCAAGTAATTGAGTTCCAAAAAGTTTTGCATATTTTTTGATTTTTTCATATTTATTAAAAATTTTTGAAGTTACTTTCTTTATAAATTCAAGGAGTGTTTTGTGCATTATGTGCTGTGGTAAAAAGTATGTTTGAGACGACAAATCCCAGAGGTTCCATTCCAATCGGGACCTTGTGTTCTTTGTGGAAACTATTTTTTTTGTGGATTTTTTTTGACTTTCGTGTCTGATAATTTTTGTCGTCTTAGGTCCCGCAGAAAGGTCCCGATTGTATTGCTAGTAATTTTCCAGGAATTTTTTGTCCTTTTTTCAATTTTTTTAACTTTTTTGACCAAAAAAAATATTTTTGCTAGTAATCATAGTTTTTTTTTTCTGGTAATCATAGATATTCATTTTTGTATAGCAAGTGATGCGAAGCTCCACTTCGCCGCTTCGTCAAAAAGTGTCAATCATAAATTGTTCTTGAAATTCAAAGAGCTCTAAGGGCATCTATTTTTTACCTCGAAAGTCGATTTTTTTGTTTCCTCGCTTTCATATCTCTTTTCCCACTGTCTGTTAGCTATGTTTAATATCTTCAGCAAACAGTAAGAACGCTGCAGTGCCTGATGATTCAATTAGTCTGCCGAATCATGACAACCCACTTACTGTTAAATCTGTGACGAATAACGCAGATGAAGAAGACTCGTGGAATTGGCTGATCAAGCTACAACAGAATTAGTTTAACTTAGAATTGTAAATAAATGTACATTTGTATCATTTTCAATTATATTATGTATATTTAATAGAGATATATTTCTATCAGAACTTTTAGCTCACCATTTCAGTTTTCTTAACCACAACCAGAGTCATGTGTCTCAAAACAAAATCCGAGCTTCAATTATTTCAGATCGAATTGAAGGTAGTTCGTTTTTAGCTCAGTTCCAGAAAATGATCATTGCAGATAAAACATTATCTGTTTGATTAAAACGTGCGAACTTGTAAAATGAATATAAGTGAACTGTTATTTGGTCGAAAATGCTTCCCAGAAAAAATTGACTCTCGACACATTTGTGGAAAGCGTCTGAATGTGAGCAAAAGTCTGTTCCGCAAGACCCTATTCGGACACCACGGCTGTGTGAACACTCTTTCCTTCTCTAAATCCGAACGAATCTTTGCAACTTCGGGCGACGACAGACGAGTGTTACTATGGGATACGGAGAAATGCATAGGAGGTTTAATTTACATTTTGACTTTCCAAACAATCGAACTCAGGTTCACGTAAAATAAACTTTTATAGCTTTTTCGAAATCTCTATTGAGGTATTTTTTGCTACATATTTGAAATATTGATTAGTTATTGCTTTTTAGGGAGGCATCCAAAACACATTGTGGAAATGTGTAGCAAACACGACTCAAATGTGTTCACGACTTGTTTCAACTCGGACGAATCGGTAGTGCTCTCAGGAGGAAACGATGAGAGGGTGAGAGACTGAATCAGAATTGGCGGACGGTTGTAAGGAAAATTGCTGAATTAATTCTTATAACTAGAGGCATTAATTTAAAAATCATATCAAATTGTCAATGGTTTCAACAATTTTTGGATGGTATTCGGAAAACAAAAGTATTGCAACAAAATTATTAGGTTCATTAACACCGATTGACTGATAGGTGCTCTCTCACGACGTGCAGACTAACACACTGATTGGCGATTTCACATTCGAAGGAACAGAAGTGCTCTTCATAGACTCCCACCCATCACTTCCTTCGCAGAGTATGGCAGGGGCCTCGTGTGGGAAACTGATCACGATAGACCAGAGGATAGGTCAGAATGGGGGAGGGACTGGAAGAGCGCCTCACAGTACTACTGTTGTGAGGGACGATTGCATATACTCCAGTTTCAGGCTAGTTAGAATCCAGACTATTTTCACCAAAACCGTTGATTTTATCTTTTATTACGCTAGCGAGCTGCTAGTGTTTTAGTACGAACATTCTTTTTTCTAACTTAACTCGCAATTAAAAGTGTTCATTAAAAGTGTTCACTTGTGTGCTTTTTTGCCATAATCACGATCTGCAGCATTGGAAATTTCATAGCATCTGTTCTTGGATTTATTTGTGGCTAGTGATTGTGATGGACTAAGCTTCCGGGGCTGAGTGGTTAGTGGGTGAGACTCTTTTTTAATTTGGTGCGTGAGACTCTTTTTTAATTTTTCGTATTGCACTTTTTAGAGCTCTTCGTGTTCTTGCTAGTGCGAACCGCAGCTACGCCTCTGTGTCAAACTTGCAAAAAAATCTAGTTTAAACTATGTCTCTTTTGTCAATTTCAGATGGTCTATCAAAACAATTTTATGTTGTTTTTGTTTAGTTGTGATTCGAAACGTTGTGATGATTTTCGTTACATTATTCTTTGTCCTCCTTGAGACTGATAGACAATAAATAATTCAACTTCTTTCTATTATTGTTTAAGAGTCAATGAGTAGGTTGCGTAGGTTACACTCTTATATAGATCGCGATGGTTTTTTTTTTTTTTTTTTTTTCGTTTCAGGAAAATTTTGAAAATTTGTTCAGGCTCAAATTATTTTTTCACGGTGTGACTTTTTATTTCTTTTTAAGTTCAGTTCATTTTCTTTGTGATAAGGAAGCAAAATCCAATATCGAACAGTGAAACTTAAAAGGTCACGAAAACGTGATCGACTTCTACAGTGCTGATTTAAATTAACCGGACACAACGAACATTCGAAAATTTATACGCATTTTACTCAAATTTGGTTAAGATTAGACAAAAACTGAAGGAAACAAAAACTGCTTAGATTTTCACCAGAATTAATATGGTGCATTTTTTTAACGCAGTTTTCAACCAAAGTTTTACCCCAAAAATGGGTCCTTCTGGCTTTTTTTTTATCAAGAATTACGCTGAAACTACCAAGTAAATTGATGAGAATCTTATATCAAAAGAAGCCTCTCACTCAGCCTAACAAAATTTTAGAAATATAAAATCTACAAAACCTGTTTAAGAGAACAAACATTTGCTTGATACAGAAGAAGGTCACTTTTACTAAATATAACTCATAATCTTTGCTTTAGACTCAAAATTTTTAAACGTTTTACTCAAGTTTTTGGGTATTTTACCCTTCTAGAACTTTTTTTGTTGGGCTGTGTAAGAGGATTGTTTTCATTATATTATTCTCATCAATCAACTTGGTAGTTTTAGCGTAATTTTTGATAAATTAAAAAAGCCAGTTTTTCGTTTTATATAAAATTTTTGAGAGAGTGAGAGTTTCGAAGAAACCATTGAACCGTTTTAATTCTACTGGAATTCTAGCAACTTTTGTTCTATTCAATTTTTAAATAAGTTTAACTCAACTTGAGAAAAACGCTTTTGAAATGTCAAACTTGATCATGTCCGGACAATTAAATCAGAAAATGGAATTTAATTTTCAGTGATAAAAAATTTACCTATTGATCCAGTTTTCTCAAATTGGGTTAATTTTGTTGAAAAAAAGCCAATAATAAATTGTTATAAAACTTCAAAGAGCTTTGAAGACATCTATTTTTTCTTTGAATTTCGAAGGTTGCATTTTTTCAACAAAAACACGTTTTTTTTCTGCTTAATTACGTTCATTGACTCTTTTCCAATTGTCTGTTTGCTGTATTTCTAATTACTGTGTTTAGATGTGTGAAATATCTACCTAGTGACCCAACCTATATTGCCACGGCCAACAGTATTAACGGCCTTGCTCTCAGAGACACGAGAATGGACAAAAACAAAGTGGTGATGCAATACAGAAACAGAAGCAGACGCTTCGGTGGGTAAGAGTCTAGTACACCTCGTTAGAGGTTGTTGTAACAAGGAAGGTTTCAATCCGTTCGGCTATTTGTAGCTTCGGCTGAAAGTGGCGACATGATGCACTGTACGTTCGACGCGACAGGAACCCGACTACTGGCTTTGAGCGGACGAGAATCGACATTGTATCTTTTCGACCTTGATTGTCCCGACGAGCCGAAATTCACGTTTGCAAGCCGGGCTTTCTTCAAAAGCGCGACCACGATCAAAGTGTGCTCGTTTATGGGCCCAAACGATGAATATGTTGTCTGTGGGTCGAATGATTTTAATGTGTATGTTTGGAAGATTCCGAAAGATGGTGCATTTAAACATGTGAGGATCCCACATATGCAGTTACGAGGTCATAGGTCAATTGTGAATCAGGTGTCTTACGCAAAGAGATTCAGTCTGCTGGCGACTTCTGGCACAGAGAAAATTGTTAAAATCTGGAGTCCCTTTTGGATTAATCATGGTTTGTTGATGATATTTACCCCTTGCGATAAGCAGGAGTATTGCAATCGAAAAAAAAACTTTTTCCCGTAAATAACTTTGTTCATAGGATTCATCTCCTGCACTGATTCATTAACTGGGCCTTTCTGTTTCAACAGACGTTTTTGAGCATGTTAGGATTTAAAATATCCGGCCTTATCGAAGTTTGCTTTTTTATCTTGGTTGTAATTTTATCAACTCGATTTGTCAAAATTTCAGCTTTTTTTCGGCCATACAGGTTTCGGCTTATTTCATATTGTTTTAGTGGTCTCTTATTGCGTCGTTTGATGACCGAAAAAAGTTTTCGTGTGCATGTGTTAGAGGTGAAGGGGGCTTTAGTTTTTTAATTAGCTTAGAATTTTTGGAGTTTTTTTGGCATGAGGAGTTTCTGCTCAGCTATTTTCGGCTTTCTTACCGCTTGGTAGTACCGCAGTTTATGTTGTATCGACTTAGTCAACTTATTTTGCGTAATTTCGAGACCAAAATATATAGCTTTGTTGCCGCTCGACTAACTTTGTTGCCGCTCGGTAAATCATTTTCGTTTTTCAAGGGCTGTGTATGATATTCATTTGATACAAGTATGAAATTTTTGTTGCTGTAATTTTTCAATTTGTCAAGTTATTTTTTCAAGTAACTTTTTTTTCAAGTAACTTTTTCAAACATAATTTTTCCGACATTTTTTTTTACTTGTCTTCTTTTTCATTTATTATTTTGTAGCGCAATGTGTTTTATTGCATCGCGCATCTGGTGTAAAGGTTACCCAAGTGGCTGAGACGGCAAAAGCTCGTGGTTCGAAACCGGCCGGGACCTGTTTTTTGCAAACTAGTTAATGTGCTTTTTCGGACTTTAGTCGGTCTGCTTATTTTTTGTCGGTTTTGTTTCCCTATCCCGAGTTTTTAGAGCTTCCGCTTTCTTCCAGGTCGCTGTTGAACCAATGCTTGAGACGACAAAGCCCGAGAGTTCGATTTCAGTCGAGACCTGTTTTTTTTTGCAAACTGAAAATTTTCAGCTAGTTTAGTTTATTGCCTGTCTGCTTGTTTTTGTCGGCTCAGTTCAGCACAAAGGACTTTTTTGAAAATTCGGCTTCTTTCTGGCATTCCCGAAGCGTTTTGTAATATTTCTAATAGTGCGTTACAATTTGGTAACAATTTTTTTATAGTTTTTTTTGACCAACGATTTCTTGAAGGCGGCTTTTTATTCAAGTTTAAAGTTTCTTTTCATTTGGTTTTTATCATATTTATTCATTTTTGTATGACAAGTGGTGCGGAGCTCAGCTTCGCCTCGGTCTCTAAATTTGGTTCTTCATGCTGACGAATAGTGTGTAAGTTTTGCTCCAGAACCACTGAATCTACGATATTTATTTTGAAAGAAATAAACTTACAGATAGAAAGGGTTAACTGATAAGCATTTTAGTTTGTATAGAGCGTTGACATTAAAGGCTACCTCAGAAGCTACATGAGCTTTTCTTTTAGAATTGTATACTTCTTTTTAGTGTCCCGAAACAATCATTTTTGTCAAATTCTAGGAATGGGCAGTATTGAGAAGGAGGTAGGAGTTACACGGAAGGTGCGATACAACTACGACGACTACCTCAACTTCATCCTGCACGAGGGACCCATAGACCACGACTACCAGTTCGGAACCACCGAGGAGGACCAGAGAATACTGGCCCTGTTCGACCTCGAGAGGGGAGGGGAGGACGGTGATGGTGACTACAATCAGTTAGTACTTGTTACCTTCCCATATAAGCTGGTCGGCGTAAGAGTTTTTCTATTAGTTGAATTTTTTCGGCCTCGCACAGTTCCGAAAATAACGCATGTGAATAACCCAAGTGAACGATCAGCACCCTAATACTAAAACGCAAATTTAAGCTGATTTAAGCTGAAATTACAAACTGCTGATTTATGATTGGCTTAAAGAGATAGCTCGTAATCAAGTGAGTGACCTCCCTAGATTAATTCAGGGAAGAGGTTGTTCACTTGGTTTATACTAGCTACTGACCTCCCGACTCGCGATTATTAAGGTAAATGGCCACTGATAGCTGGTACGATTTCAACCATATTTTTAATCTGCTAAGTTTTTGTCAGCAGTTCAAGTATAGCAGCGTTTATGAGTAATGAACGTAGTGAAGACTATTATATAGGTCCTGCTGATTTTTTTTGTTGTTGTTTTTTTTTCAGGAAAAAGTCTTAAAATATTGATGTACTTAGGTATAATGCTTTTTTTTTTGAAATCATTTCAAATTCATCTGCTGAAAGTGACGTAAATAGTACTCTCCAAATACGAACGTGGAAATGGCGTGAAAAAGCGTGAACGATATTTCTAGTTTCGAAAGTAATTTATTTCCCATCGGAATAAAAACTTTACCTATTGGTCCAGTTTTCTCAAGTTGGGTTCATGTTATCAAAAAAGGGCCAATCATAAATTGTTGTCGAAATTGAAAGAGCTTAAGGGGCATCTATTTTTTTCTTTGAAATTCGAGAGTTGAGATTTTTTCAAGAAAGTCAGTGTTTTTAGGATTACTTGCGTTTATTACTCCTTTTCAATCTTCGATTGGCTATGTTTTAATATAGAAATAGGAATGAGTGAAAATATAGAATTAAGTTGTAATTTAAAAGGCAGGAGGTTCATGTGATTTCTTTGCGACTGTGTAGTGACAATGATCCCGCCGTTGAAGAAGGTGCTGCATCCGAGTTCAATTCTGCAACAGCCTATTTGGACGGTTTAAATGCACCAGGTCAACCGGGTTCAAGTTCATCGACAGGCGGAGATGCCTCAGATGACCTCTACTCTTTCGACTGGCCCCACAGCGAACAATCGAACAGGTGTGCTTTGAAGTTACCTTCAAAAATTTCTCCCTCCCCCACGGTTCGTCCTGCACGGAGCAGGCCGGGGGCTAATAAAAAAAAACAAAAAAAATCGTGTAGCTAATTAAGGGAATATTAAGGGCGTGTTATTTGAACATTTAAGAACTAATTTTTTTTGTACTGATTGCAAGAAATGCCCCCCAAAGCTGAAAATCAACTCAATGTACCAAACATAATCTTGAACTTACGTTATATTTTAGTGAGCCTGATCCAGAACCTAATATAATCGGGCTTGACTCATCTCTTGACTCAATATCACCGTCACATGGAGATGACCCGACATTTGCAATTTTAAATGAGCAGATATCTAGCACAAATACACCTGGAAGTTCTATGAGTCGTTTAAGAGGATCGACATCTGATACCAGCAGCGATGAAGGCTCTGAGTCTACAGTTGTAAGAATGAGAAATGCTAATCGGAAAAGCAAACGAAAGAAATAATAAACTTCGATCATTTTGAAGTCTGATGAAATGTGACGGGATACGAGATACAGTTAGCATGACGTTCGAGGCTCTCGTGACAAAAGGGTCAAATGAGAATATTTGAATGTTTGACGCAGGCTCTGGGAATAGAGAGCGATGAACTTATTAAATAGAGAAACTAATTTTGCAGTTGAAACATTAAAATGATATTTTTCAGTATAAATTAAACATCAAATCATATTTTCTCTTGCAAAAAGAAAGGGTATTGCAACTGGATACTAGATTTTCATCGTAAATAATTTGTTCACTGAATGGTGAAAATTAAAAATGGCAAAATTAAGCATGTTACTATGTCTGTTACTGGAAGGCTTTTTGCCATTCCTGTTTGATAAAACAATTCATGTTTGATAAAAACAGGTATTTTTACGCTTGCGATTAGCAAGCGTTATAAAACCGGAGTATGTACTTTTTTTCCGGTTAAAAACTTGTTTAACAGAATCAATTGATGCTCAATTTCATTTAATTTCAAAAAACACTACCATATCTAGGTAGTGAATAAGTGGAGTACGTTTTGGGCATTTATTTTTTTTTGTAAATAAATTTCTTGAGAAACTTTTTTCGGATTCGTGGTTTTCGGCCTAGTTTCCGTCGGCTTTTTCCGTTTTTCTTAAATGGCATTTGTTTTTATCGGTTACTACTTTTTATCGGCCTGCTTTGTAAAGAGCGGTTTTTTTTAATTCTTATTTTTAAGAGTATTGGAAGTAGTGAATACTCTTATATAGGTGTTGCTGTTTTTTATTTTGCTTATATTTTTAAAAAATCTTTAAAATGTATATCAAAGTCTCTAATAACTAAAGATTTGCATTCATGAATGCAAGTAGGTATTTATTCACTTTTTTAGTTCAATTGAAACTCATCTTCTGAAAGTCGAAAGTCACGTAAATAGCACTCTCCAAATACAAACATTGAAATAGCGCAAAAAAGCGTGAACGATTTCTAGTTCCGAAAGGGTAAATTAGTTTTTAGATTTCCTGTGGAAACAAATTTTATATATTGATCCAGTTTTCTCAGGTTGGGTTAATGTTATCGAAAAAGCGCCAATCATAAATAGTTCTAGAAATTCAAAGAGCTTAAAGGGCATCTTTTTTTTTCTTTGAAATTTGAAAGTTGAGATTTTATCAACAAAGTGCTTTTTGTGTTTACTTGCGTTCATAACTCTTTTCCAGTCTTTGATTGGCCGTTTTTTTTAATAATTTAAATTTCTGTTATCTGTTTGTTGTTTCATCAAGTCGAATTTCGAATAATTTAGTTTTTTTTTTTGTAAAAGTTTTTTTTTCGGCTTAGTTGTATCGGCTACGTCAGTTTATTTTGCGTAGTCTCAAAGGCCAGAAAATTCCTGCTGGGCAAAGTCCGGTATTATGTAAATTTATAGGATTGGCTTTTTATTAAGAGCAATGAACGTAGTGAAGATTTTTATATAGGTCTGCTGATTTTTGTTGTTTTTTTTTCTCTCAGGAAAAATTCTTAAAATATTGATGCACTTAGGTATAATGCTTTTTATGAGTTCAATTGAAGTTCATCTGCTGAAAGTGACGTAAATAACACTCTCCAAATACAAACGTGGAAATGGAAAAAACGTGAACGATTTCTAGTTTTGAAAGTGGAATTTATTTTTTTAAGATTTCCCTGTTGGTCCAGTTTTCTCAAGTTGGGTACATGTTATCAAAGAAGTGCTATGTTTTTCTTGAGACACTTTCGAGTTTTCATAATATTTTGCAAAGGTTCGGTAGAAAACTACTGTTTCGAGTTTCAAGAAAGGGTATCAATGAAAAAACTTCTGCTTATTTGTGTGCTTGCAAAATCTAAGTTATTTTTACTTTACCCTACTCTCTACAGCCTTCGAAAAAGTCTCTGGGGGAATATTGGATGGAATATTTGACCCAATTATTTTGATTTTTTTCTCATTTTCTCAAAAATTACTCTTGATAATATAAATTTTGGCAAAAATAACTTTTTTTCGTACAAAAAGTTATGACCCTCGTGAAATTCAAATTTTGGCTTTTTTGTCCGTTTTTTAAATTTTTTTTATGTTTTCTCAAAACCTGTTCTCCCAAATCTGAAAGTTCGGTTCAATTGAACAAACGTATTGTGTAAAGCTCCCCGGAGTGATTGACTGCACCCAATTTTCTGAAACACAAAATTTATGACCCTCGAAAATGTTACAACTTGGTTTTTGTACCGCGCATTGAAACTAATTGAATTTTCTCGAAAACAAACCTCTCAAGTCTTGAGTTGTTGCGTTCAATCGAATCAACAGATTTTTTAAATCATTTTTGCCTCAGCGAATTTTCCCGAAAAATTTAAAACTCAAAAGATATGGCCCTTGAAAAACTTATTACTTGGTCTTTGTACCGTTTTGTGAAATTTTCGGCTTTTTTGCAATACTTCTAGAGCTTTCGATTGAAAGAACCGCTTGCGATATTTTTTCTAGAGAAGCGGTGAAATTCTACACGGTGAAGCGGTGTTTTCTAGAGAAATTATTTATGAGAAAATTGTGATATCTCAGGGAATATTCCTATTTCTCAAAAATCTTAGGTCTTTTCAATTATTTTAGCACAGAAACAACTAAGGTTTCGGCAAAGACCAATTTTTGAAATTACTGCGGAATTTCCATTCCGCATATATACAAAAAATCCAAAAGTGTAAAACAGTTACCTCTAGCTGTAGCTGGACCTACAATTAATTTCTATGGAGGCATACGCGCATTTTGGTTCACTTAATTTTTTATGGAGGCATACACACATTTTGGTTCACCTACGACATTTTCCATAATATTTTTTCAATTTTATTTTTTGACTTATTTTTTTGTATTGCAAGTGCTGCAAAGCGCCGATTCGCTGCTGTAGGAAATTATATGGGATTTGATTTCTTAATTTTTTTTAGACCTTTTGAAACAAATTTTCGTTTTTCTACTTCTGGGTTTTCTCATTGCACTTTATTGAGCTGCTTTTGTGTTCTCGCCTGCATAATCTCTAGTCTGCTTTTACCTCACCCCGCTTTCTACAGTTTCCAAAAAATGCGTACTTGACCGAACTTTTTTGGATTTATGTTTTTTTAAAAACTGCCCAATGGATGGAACGGGTTGTGGGAAGCATTGACGGCTACATACAGATTTTTGACACAAAATGTTGTGGCCAACGGAAACGTCAAATTTTCGGTTCGTTTACCGTTTCTCGTAATCTACCCTACAAAATCTGAGATTTGGATTTCAATCGATTGGAAGGTTGAGAAATGCCCCTGCAAAAAACACCTACGCCCAATTTTTCTTACACGAAAAGTTATAACCCTCGGAAAAGTCAAAACATTGATTAATGGACCGTTTTTTTTCTAACTTCGACTGTTCTCAAAAACTACCATCCCAAATCGGATGCCTTTAGTTTTTGAATGCTGTGGAGAGAACGGATTGTGAAGAAGTCCCATGCGTTATTGACTACAATTAAACGTTTTCACCAAAAAAAAATATTCGACGTTTTCACCAAAATAGTCTCATTTTGTGACTTTTATTTAAGCGTTTTTGCTGAAATTTTTTAACTCTAAAACTAAGGCACTCGGAAAAAACAATTTTTGATTTCTTAACTGTTTTTAAAAAAGTTTTCGAATTACTTCGAAAACTACCATCCTAAATTTGATGTCTTTGGAAAAACTACCGATTCTCAAAAGTTTTCACTCTTACTTTGTTAAAAAAAAAATACATAAGTTTTATGTGAAGACCAACTTCTGAACTTCCAAAATTATATATCAGGACAAATTCAAAAATTATCAAATACATCCAGATTCAGCTGGGCGTCTAGTGTTTGAATGTTTGCTCGAACTCTTTCCGTTTCTTTTTTCCTACCTTTTTTTCTATTTGTTTCATTTTATCGAAAACTGCAAGTCAACAAAAAAACACGAACTGCAAAAAGAGATGATCTTTGAAAGCAAAATTTAATGGGTTAAACTACTCAAAATGAAAATTTTACTAAATATGTTTTGAAACAGCACCTGTAAAATATGTGATCTTTGTTTCGATCAGCCATTTGACTTGTTTGACACACTATTTTTTGTTCACCAAAAAGTTCAAAAGTTGCAATGTTGTTTTTTTTATAAATTCTAGCGAGAACATCCTCGCTCCCGAACAAAGCAGGAAGAAGAAGAGGTTAGAGCTCAACTGCCATCCGGGTCAGCTCTCATATTCAGAAACTGCTCATTTCCTGGTCATCGAACCATATTTCTGCCTTGTTTTGGTTCTGAGGTAGATCTGGCTGATTGATAAGATTTAATTTCATACATAATTTAGCAATAATTATCACAAAATTTGAGCTAGAAAAGATTAACGACTTGCCATATGTTTTGATTTTTAAAAGCAGAATTCAATGTGATAAAATCCGCCAAAACAAAACTTTAATATATCAATTTTAAAACAGCGCTTGGAAAATTTGTTGTTTTTGTTTCGATCATTCATTTGGTTTTTTTCAAACATTCTTTTTTTGCTCACCGGGAATTTTAAAAGTTGCGACCTTGCTTTTTCTTGTTGTGAATTATTTCTATGACAATAAGGACGGCCGGGAAAAACTCAAAATATCAATTGAATTCAGAGTTTACAGAATATTTGATTTTCCCCCATAATTCGAACAATTTCTTTCATTCATAGGCTTTCACGAGTATTTAGCAACTGCGGAATATGGGCATTTGAACAACTATCTTCAAACTGAACATTTTTGAGAACAATTCAATATATCACAACCTTGCAATAAGTTGAGGATGAACAGAACGAAATTTCATCAACTACGGCCAATAAACCAGTTTCACAAACCGAAACAAGAGTTAATTTAGTTCAAGTTTTAGTTCCTAAGGTTAAATAATTTTTTTTAATTCTAAGTAACATTTTTGCTAAAAACTGAACCAAAATCTTGTATATGAAATGACTACATTATAAAAACAGACGCATAGTTAGCCGCGCTAAAATCCTCTGCCCCCAAAGGAACAAGAATCGGTGCGAGTTTCACGATCGGACGTGTGTACTCGCCGGTTGCCGATCTAATTACGGCGGACCGCGCTATGCCGTCGTTACCGTAGTTCAATGACTTGACTCGCTCTAACGGGTAATGGCTTTTTGGACTTTTGTCCTCAATCAACCAAACGAGATCTCCAGTTTTTAAGTGTGATTCCGGAGAAGAAAATCATTTCGCTCGTTTTTTCAG